AGACTCTACAATGTCTCTTCGGCCACGCTTCATCACCAAATGTATAAAAGAGCCCTCCATGGTTTGAGAAAGAACTTGAAACAAAACATATATGGCGTGTCTCATTACGGGATTGCGATAGAAGATGTGCAAATCCCCAATCCAGACCCTTTAAATTGTGTTCGGTATGCATGTCGCTACTGGGTCTATCATCTGGTTCAAAGTGGCTGCACGTTCACAGACATGGAGGATATCCTTTCGTTCTTCAACACACACTTCCTTCACTGGCTAGAGGCAATGGGTTTGCTGGGGCTGTTTCCCGATATTGTGAGGCTTGTCGGTCAATTGAAATCCAATGCAGAAGTAAGCCAGTGGGTATGAGCGAGCCTGTACTTATACTAATATTTAACCAGACTGAGAACGTGCCGGTACTGTTGGAATTTCTAATGGACGCCGAAAGATTTATCTTGCAGAATCTGCCAATTGCGACCGCAGCGCCTCTTCAGCTCTATGTCTCCTGTCTTATATTCTCGCCGGAGAGAAGTATCATCAGGTGCATATTCCAAAAGAAAGTCTGCAAATGGATCCTACGAACAGTTGGCGCTGATATAGAATGGGGTGCACTGCTCCAAACACTTGAGCATTCAGATCGGGTGTGCTCTGTTGCATTCTCTACAGATGGACAGCTGGTGGCATCGGGCTCTTCAGATAAAATGGTTAAAGTCTGGGACTCGTTCACAGGGAATCTACAAAAGATACTTGATCATCCGAGTTGGGTTAGAGCTGTGGCGTTTTCACCAGACAACAAGCTACTAGCTTCTGGGTTAAGTGATGGTAGTATCAGGCTATGGAATACAATCACATGGCGGGAAACAGGAAGACTCGAGCAATCTGGTGACATCGCTCATCTGATGTTCTCTCTGAATAACCAGCTATTGGGGTCTGCATCGTTCAATGGTGTTGTGAAGGTGTGGGAGAAGGGGACGTGGAGACTTAGGTGGGAATGGCGACCCTCGGGCTCAACGTCATCGCTCGCGCCCACGGCCATTTCTTTAAACGGTCAGGCATTGGTAGCAGCTACAATACGCGCCTATGCTCCTAATACAGTGGTTTTGGTGAATATAGAGACCGATACTATAGTGCACGAGCTCGCTCACTTGGGCAAGATCACGAATGTGGCATTTTCCCTTGACGACCGGATGTTGGCCTGTACCTCAGATGATAGAATTATCACACTGTGGGACACTGCGACTTGGAATATCAAGCACACAATTCATGACGAACATGTGCTTGATTTGACCGTGTTTTCCCCGGATAGCAATCTCATCTCTGCAGGTCCATTGCAAAACTCCGTTCAACTGTGGAGTACAAAATCTGGAACGCTAGAACAAACACTGAAGGGTCATGTTAACCATGCTACAACTGTTGCCTTCTCACCTGATGGCCAGTTGGTGGCATCGGGGTCATATGATAATACAGTCAAGCTATGGAAGGTGGCCCAGGGGAGGGAGGAGCCAAGCATGGATTATCACTCAGAGCCAATAGAAGGTGTGATACTTTCACCAGATGGTCGGCTGGTGGCAACATACTCTTTGGATTCCACAGTCAAATTATGGGGTGCAGAGAATGGGAGATTGGTGCGAAGCCTCAAAGGCCACCACGACGAAGTGACAGCAGCTGCCTTCTCTCCAGGCAGCAAGCTACTCGCCTCTAGTTCATCTGATCGGACAGTCAGAGTATGGGATACCGAGAACGGGCAACAGAAATGGAAATTCGACCATGGTAGTGAAATGCTATGTCTGGTCTATTTCTTTGCGGAAAACCAAGTTCTGGCTACCAATTTTGGGCAAACTACATTTCGAGTATGGAATACACAAACAGGACACCCTGAACAGACTGGTGGCATCTACGATCCTCGCATTGGAAGTATACTTCGCACCAATCCTACAAAACAAGACATGTCCGCCAAATGCAAGATCTCTGTTGAGGACGACTGGGTTATTCTTAACAATAGAAAGAGTATTTGGTTGCCTCCGGAATACCGAAACAACGTATTTGACGATGCATGGGCAACTCGGGAGAATTCTCTTATAATTGGGGCTCAATCCGGCCGAATTTACTTCGTTTGGTTTGATCCAGATGCATTGAGAGATGTATGATATGCTGACAGAACCCCAGGAGAAAGAATATCCTTCAACTCCTGCAAAACCAGGTTATCTTCACTTGTGGTTATGTTTTCTTTTTTCTCTCTGTTCTGTCTTGATCTTCTGGTCTTTTTCTTTCTTCCATTTCATAATTCACTTTCGATCAAAATATATACACTTCTGCGGCAGGTCCAAGTGCCGCACAAGGCTTCATTCACGCTGAGCAGCGTGTACAGCCTAGACATGCCGGATTGATTGAAATAAGATGTGTTGGATAGGTTGTGCTGGTCAGCACGTGTACCTACTTACTTCATTCTTCTATGATAGAACAACGCGGGACAATACTACAATGTTTTAGAAATAGGCAGTATTGTTTTCCTTCCCACCTACCACCACCCCAACCATCTATCGTCTACCACAAACCCACCCCACCCCTCCACCCTTAAACAATCGTAACATTCGTCACCGCCGTCCCCACAACAAACTCATACGAAAGCTACACGCATCAGCAAGTCACCATCAAACCCTCCTAACAAATCAATAGTAATTGAACTTACCCCAACCAAATACGGCCTAACAACCCCGATCTGAGCCGGCCCTGTCACATCTGGCACCGTGACAGTGAAGTTCTCATACGGGTAGGGAGGTCCATTAGACTGTGGATCATAGGGACCGCTGTATAGGAGATTTCCAATAGCAGAGTCGGGGGCGGTGCATCCTGAGGACCCGGAGCAGGATTCGATGCCGATGGCGATACCGATTTCGGCGATGTTTTCGGGGAAGCCCTATTCCAAGAAGGAAAGCATGAGTGAGGGAGTAGGTATGATGTAGTTGTGGAGAGTGGGCTGAACGTACCGGACGGCCGATCTGCACGGTTATTGTTTCTCCGGCTTTCAGCTCCGTGCCGGCGGCGGGGGACTCGATGTAGATGCCCTGGGCTAGGGCAGTAGCTGTGTAGAGGACGAGGGAGAGGATGGATTTCATGGTGGATAGGTAGTTAATAATTATCGGAAGAAGAATTCAAATGTTGTGGGTTCTGGAGAAGTTAGTAAGTAAAGATGAAACTTGACATCGGTCGGGAGAATGAGTCTTTATATATTTACAGACGCTGCCACTACAAATAGAACAACTAATGCACGAGAACTAGACAGGGCACCTCATGTTGTACTACTTGCTTTTTTTAGGCACCTCAGTCAGCCATTTTGAATAGAGTCGCGGCATATCGTTGGTAGGGCTCCGCCACGGCTCTGAGACATCAGGCCTCCCATGCGTTTTTGCGACCAATAAGAGTGATAGTATAAAAGGCTCTGGGTACACGGCAGTATTCCAACATTAGGGATACGTGATGTATCTAAATAAGAGTGAAAATATGAAAATAATAAATAAGTCGATCTAAGCGAGACTGCGTATACTCTAGCATGTTGGATCCTAGGTATTACTAACTTCCTTGGAGTGGTGACAAGAAGATATATTTCTACACAGGAGAAAAAGAACGAGGTATGTAACTTTCCAAAGACCAGTGTGACTTCTTGTGCGACGCCATCAAGTATCTTACACTATTACAATGAGCTTGATTCAAAGCTTATTTTATGCTAAGTCATATGTTGGGGCTCCTCATATGACCTGGCTTATATGCAAGGCAGCCAGCCGGGGACCCTAGTAAGCTGACGGGTAAGAGGCTCTCTTGTGCTGTCTCTGGACCCTGGGTGCAGGGTGGACAAGATGTCATGATGTATTAAGTCCAGTTTACTTGTCAGTCACTGCTTTAAGCCTAGCAGGTATCAGCACAGACGAATTGACGCTATTGAATGCGACATATCCGGGCTATTAGTAGCTCCGTAGCCGACGCATCACCTACTGTGTGTTGGATGGAGTCATATTAAGGAGTATGTGGAGCCTTTCAGTTATTCGGTGTTTGTCATGGTCGCCTGACATTCACCATAGCTGATGGTTACTCATCTATCTATATTTGGAGCATGACATTGCGATCCTTCGAGGTAGTGAGACTAAGCCCTCGGACGCCTAGGCACCGGGACTAGACTAGCACAGTACTAGGTGTAGATTTCTGCTGTGGTATACTCTAACAATCAACTCATGATTCTTTTGTAAAGACAATGTGACACGATTCCATCCGTAGATATGTTCATGAAAGACCGACCAGTCGAATAACAGGTACCAGTCTCCCTCCCCTACATAGACATTTACCCTGCGCCAAATTTATAAGAATCGCCTTTATAGCTCAGTGGTAGAGCGCTTGACTTGTATCCTTTACGGTTATCAAGAGGTCCGTGGTTCAATCCCGCGTGGAGGCATTTCTTTTTTTTCCCGCCCGGCCTACCTGGCTCCTATGGCTAAGTCTCTTCTTTCTTCCTTCTACCCTAACCTCCTTCACACATTCTTACAACATCAACATCTAGATCCCCTGCTAATCGTAGCAATTTAGAAAACATTCTCAGCCACAAATTCTTCATCAGTGAAGCCCTTGCGTCTGCACTTCAATAATTTTCCCCACATAACTGCGACTGGATCACACGGAAAATGGATCCGGTCGGTCCGTTCCGTTGAATCGGAGATCGGATCCAATGGAACTCAGTGTAAGGGACAGCAAGCAGGTACTGCTTTTGAATTATTTATCTTGTTTATGGTTGCATTATGCGTGCAACAGGGTACAGCAAACGCGTTCTACTTAGCTTCAAATAGACGTGATCGTGTTTATTTATTCATGTATACTGACCGTCTTGGCAGTCCTGATCGCGTTGATCCGAACCTACTCGACGCGTTGTGTATCTCACTGTTCAAGCAGACAAAATGTTCCTCACACACTTCGCCACATACCAACATCAACATCTCCCTCTAGCATTCCATTTCTGCATATTCTCAAATCCCCAACTCCTTCGCATGACTCGTCTCCCACGGAAACTCCCTCTCCACCGCCCTTACTAACTCCTCATGCCCCTTACTCCTCGGCTTCAGATCCACCTCGAACGGAACAGGATGGCTAATGGTCCCTGAGGAGAACTCCACCCGAATAGGCACTTCCTTACCATCTTGTACCTTCTTTCTAATATCCAGTACCGCCAGTGCCCGTGCCACAGTGAGAAAAATGCTCTTCTCGGCGAGCAAGCGACCGGGACAAATGCGGCGGCCGAATCCGAAGGCGTATAGTCGGGGGTCTGGCTCGGGGGTTGCGCCGAGGAACCGATCGGGGTTGAATGCTTCGGGGTTGTGGTAGTTGGTAGGATCGTGGGTGAAGGCCCTGGTCTTTGTTAGGTATTGGTTGAGAGAATAGGAACAAGGACGGGAGGATGCGTACCAGACGTTGGGAACAATGATGGCGCCCTTGGGAATAAGATAGCCGTTGAAGATGTCTTCCTCACTAGAGGCGTGGGTTACGCTGAGGGGGGTGACGGGGTGCCATCTGAACACTTCTTGGAATACGGCGTTGACGTAGGGGAGGTTATTCTGGTCGGAGAGGTCGGGCAGTCGGGAAGTCCCTACGACCCGATCGATTTCTTCTTGCGCCTTCTTCTGAACGGTCGGGTTGAGGGCCATGGCCATGAAGAAGCACGATAAAGCGGAGACAGTCTATGCGTGGTTAGCGGAGGTATGGTGATTTTTGGGAGGATCGAGACGCACCGTATCAGCACCACCCCCGTATAAAGCTCCAGCAGAGTACTTGGCTACGATTTCCTCTTCCGAGCCAGGAAGAACAGTGTCTTTTTCAAGCAGACTGGAGACATACGATGGCTGATGTGTACCCTTTGCCATTTGGCTCTTTACGAAGTCGTATGTCTTGTCGTGCATGATGGACAGTCTGTCCTTGTATTCCTTGGCTGTCTGGTTTTCCTTTCCTCCAGGGAACCAGGTGGGGAGGTATTTTACTGCGAAAGTTAACGTCTAAGTCATTCAAGGGATACTGGCAGACTAACGGAAAGGAACGAAAATTAACCAGCCAAGCACCTGGGAGAACGACTTGAGAGAAGTCGTCCATAGCCTTGTCGACCAGGTCAACCAGGGGATCTCTCGCATGTGGCTCAATGGTATATCCGTATCCGATCCGCAGGATGATCGCACCAGACTCTCTATGGTATCATTAGACATATAGCAACTTTTTGCAGGGTGGAAACCTACTTGCGAAGATGATCAACCAAGTTATTCGGTGATTGTATCACGCGCAGAAGGAACCGAGTAACTTCTTTATCGATGATCCCATCGAATTTACCTGCTACGTTGGCCGGACCGAGTTCGCGGTACGTGGCTTTTCGGTAGGCGCGAAACCGGTTGTTGTAGGGGAGAAGACCAAGTGTCTTGTCCCATCCGGACCTTGGTGTGAAGATTAGTCGCCTTTGTTGCTACTGAAGGGTAGATTAATCAGTGGAACATACAACTCTGCGATGGGAAGATGGGGTCGGGAAGAGTGTTTTGCAGAACGCTTTTCCAACATCTCCAGGGCCATGTCGGGATCATTCAGGACAACAAGAGTCTGTCCGAAGACAGTGATGGAGCTGATTGGACCTGAAGTATAATGTTAGTATAATCAATGATGCCACTTCTAGGGAATGATCGATGAGAAAGATACCATATTTCTCCTTATGATCCAACCAATGCTGCCAGTCCTTAGAACCGGGCGGCGGAAGGTCTTTAATATTGCCAATAATGGGCTTTGGAGGAGGCCCTGGGGGCAGTGGTGCGGATGCCTTCTTAGGTCCAAGAAAGACATAGAGAAAGTAGATGGACGCGAATCCGACCAGAAGGCTAACTATGGACAACATGGTTGCAGTCCAAAGCTATGAAAGCCAGTGAGAAAGAATAGAAAAGGACTACGATGTGGGAGAAGCATTGAGAACATGTGTCTGCAGCGATGGCTGAAGCTGGAGGCAAAGCAGGGCAACCGGGCGGGGAAATCGGGGACACCAGCAGCTAGTAGTTCCTGCTGCTGCATATTCCAACAAAATCCTGCAGAAAGGGATTGGTTGGAAGGGGTGCAGATGCGCCACCATCGTGATAGCGCACTAAGCTACTGCAGCTGAAGTGGAACAACGGCCTCGGTATTATTATCCCTGGACATGCCATTGGTGGCAGGGAGGCCGGTATTCAGCCCTCCCCCTTGGGTGGCGTTAGTTTGCTCAGCTTGAACGGAAATGCCGGGATTTGGATTAAATACAGACTACAAGTTACGTGGCATTGATTATATCTGAAAGGGTGTTTCGGATGATAAGATTTGACATTGACAACGTGGGAAGTCAGATGGGGGAGATGTAGGGTCAAAGCGCTGGTTGATCGTTGCCATCTCCGTTACTTGGCTGGAGGGGTGAAAAGGCAACAAATATGGTGACAAAGGTGATCTGACCTAGTGATCTTGTCTAACATGAAACTAGGTCGTTCTAGCATGACCCATAAGCAGAGGTATCTTGAAATCCTTTACCCGAACACAGTCACATTCCAACTGCTGGCCCTTAGGAGCCACTGCGACAAACAACCGCTATCCCTTGTTGCTCTTTGTCACCAGGCGCCCCTTCTGGGGGTATCCGATATCTATCAGTTGCACCCGCTATTTTCGATAACAATGGGGAGCACATTTCTCTACCCCATGGAACTCTACTCGAACAATGGGTGTGCCTGCTCTCATACGGTCCTTCAAGTCTGAGTATTCTGGGCCCGAGCCGCCGTACCAAAGTGGAGACTGCTCTGCTTATTTTGTCTAACTTGGACTGCATATTTCCAAAGAACTAGCGAGAAGTCTAGCGATAGGATTTTCGGAAGAGTCAACAGGCAGCCTATACACATCTAGTCAAGGTTTCAACGTAGCAACTTTCAAATCGCTTGAGAAGTAAAGCCTTTATCAATCTGACAAGTCTGTTAGCAGGAATATAAATCTTCTGGAGAATAGGCTTACCAGTATGTCCACGAAACATACTCTATAGAAGCCATCCTTCTCATCAAATGCCCTCAGAAGAGTCGCGAAAAGACATTCTCGTAGCGAGACTTTCTCCGCAGTTAATTGCGTTGTTGTGCTTATTTGTGCCCTCGCCTGCATCCACTGCTCTGATGGGTTTGTCGGAGCAGAATTCTAAATAAGCCTCACAGGGTGTGTTTCATTATGCACTTAGCTATACATCACGCCTTGACGCCGTGTGTGCTTTTGCAGAATAGACAAGATTTTGAAAGTATGAAGACGAGCAGATCCATTCCTAGTTTGGTGACCCAGTCGGCATGCCAGAATAAAGGTTTCTACCATCAATGATCTGATATCATAGGAGATAGGGTATTAGTCAAAGATGTACTTTATACCCCTTTCGTTCTAGGGGCATCAACCCCGCTCCTCGAGCTAATAAAAGCGACCAATAAGCAGTAAAAATGTTGGTGGAGCATTAGCTATTACTAGATGCGCTCTCTCATCAATACATAGCCCGGACCTTGAGGAGCTGCCTCGGCTTCGGTGATAACACATAAGATCCATGGCAAATTATCGATAACTAGTGAACGCGGCTCCACAAATTCGGCCCATAGCCGAAAGCGCGATGGTGTAAGGCTTGATTCATTAGATGAAGAAGTTGGAGACTTCCCCAGCTAAGAAGATGGAATTTTATGCAACTTTGATACTCATAGGCAGAGTCCGGGGCTATCGAACATATTATTTCTAGCTACGGTGCAGTCACTATCCACTCTCTGGCTCACCATTTTTATAGTTTATAATTCACAATATGCAGTGCACATATATTCTCAGGAGATGCTTCAATTTGAGTATCTCACCTCTATGGGACTTCCCGCTGCTTCATCTCAGTGCACATCTGCTTGCAATTCGCCAAGTCACGTGATGTTTGTATCAACCAATTCTTTGTGAGCTAAACTGCTGCTTTCGCGTAAGACGGCCCGATGATTGACAAAAGGTGAAATATAGTTGACAAAGAATTGCTTCTCTGCTCTACACGGCTGCTTAATTACCATATGCATAGTGCCTGATGCTAACAGGCATTCTGATAAAAGAGGCCTAAGTACAGCATGATTTGACATCTTGGCATTGTCTCCAAGCACACTATGCCGAAAGACAACATAACACTCACAACAGGGCAACAATGAGTCTATCTGCTACCACACCATCATCATCATCATCATCACCACCACCACCACCATGACAGAAACGATGCCGCGCCGAAGGCCCTTACGAGACGTACTCAGAGAGTACAGAAATCATTGTAACCAGCACCTGCATTGTTACAACCAAAAGCGCAAAATCTGTCAACTGTGATCGATCCACCACTGCCACATGCAAACAGAAATAAGTTGGAGATGGGGGGCACCATCACCCCAGCCGGCCGCTTTTATAGCCTGCGGAATAAGGGTGGAATATTTCGCGTAGTCTAAACAAGGTCGACTGTATTAACAGATGTTGATTAAAATGAGCTTATAACGGGAACAACTTACCGATGTCTCGCAAGACACCACTGCAGTACTTCATGCCTTTGGTGCAGTCGGTAGCTTGAACTGAGACTGCCAGGGCCAGAGTGCTGGCGACGAGGGTAGAGAGAAACTTCATGATTGTTGGTGGGAGGTTTGACCTCGGTGTTCTTGTGTAATGCGTTCATGAGGAGTGTACTGTTTTGAGATATTTGGTTGAGTTGATAGCTCAAAATATTAGGAGAGCAGGGGCTTCATATACCTTAGCTCTTGGTCAGCAAGTTCAGAAGTTCCGCATGAACATTTCTTTTTCTCGTCGTGATAATTACATCATCGTGGTATACCGAAGAATCGTGGCAACTTTAGATGCAAGTTGAATCACAATCTTGCATCAATCTATGTAGTACGAGAGGCTCACTTTTCCCACAGCAGCATCGCTCGGTGGATCACGATCCACCCCCGGACCCGATAACAATGTTACATGGACAGGGGTTCCTGTGGCTAGCAACCCAGGTATTCTGGTGCTGAAGAACACACTCGGTTAGACTTGTTAGCATCCGTACGCTGCTTCGCACTCGCTGGTCTCCCAAAATAATCCGTAATTTCTTGTTGCTTCCTAAATTTCTGTGAGATCAGAAGCAGGCGCTTCTGCTTGAAAAATGTACAACATAGCAAGTCTCGTTCAAAGGAATCATTCCGACTTGGTTGGTATTTTACAAAACTACGTGAATAGCGACAAGTAGAGAGCCACTTGTGCTTTGAACTAGTCATTTAGAAAGGTGATCGGGGTTTGCAGAAGGCACTGAAGATCCCTCAGCCTCAAGATATGCATGATTCATTGCTATGGAGCAATTGGGGTCAGTCAGTGGCCGCTGAGGAGAGTTATGGGAAGCAAGTATCTGCAGACAAGCAGCGGGGTTGAGGGTTCTAACATGGGATTATCCGCCACTAGCGCCGGTGATAGTCGGCAATACTACAGTGGTCAGAAGTTTGCATTGGCCTGTATTATACACTAGCCAGATTTAGTTCTGTTTTCTGAATCAGGCTAGATTAAATGTATTCTGCTTATAAAATCAACACGTATAAAGTTCTTTATCGTGATGCCTCACATGGATAACTATGTAAAGATCTTGTACTGTAAAGTATTAACATCTTTATCTAAAGCTTTATTATATCCCAAGGAGAGTATGAGGATATTCCCAGTTCAGCTGCCCCACCTAGTATATGCATTGTGTTCCATAGTGTGTGCGGCTGAGTAGGTTTTACCGAGGTTATTCAGAGCCCGACTAGTAAATTACCATTAAACAGTTTGTATATATATCAATCATCATATCACTTCAGAATCAGCAACATGCAAAGTATCGTACTTGCTATTCTTATTGGGTATATTCCCGCTCTTCGTTTTATTTCGCTCTCTTTTTGTATGTCCGAAATTCTCCGGAATCGTCTTTATTTGGGCGATGGTAGCTCTCATTCATGGGAATGTGTTATCCCAAAATGATAACAGATGCAGCATACCTTCCTGATTAAGAGATAACAAAGATGCTTCTACTGTCTTCCATTAAATAACTCTAGACAAGACACAATCAACTATCTACTTCTGCTTAAAAAGAATCCTTTTCTATATTTATTAAACTTAGATTAGTTATTCCAGTCCAGAGTAATTTAGTAGCATATCCTAACACTTCTCAAAGTATCTTTATTTTCTCTATATAATAAACCATAATCTATAAAATATACAGAAAGAATATCTTTCCTAATCAGTAGTATCTAAGCTCAAGAATAACTATATTTCTTCAAATTATAATATCCAGATAGAGTCTATCCTCCAGCTGGCGTTGCGCCTATATAATAATAATAAAAAATATAAAAAGAAGATCTATATTATCTTTAAAAAGATCAAGTTCACTATTCTTAAGAACTATAAGATTAATAATAACAGTAAAATTAAGTATCTCTACTATAAATATCTTTACTACAAGTACTGTCAAGCATCTTTATTATAAGTATAATATTAGTATTTCTCTTTTTTATAATTACTACACATAACTGTTAATACAGTAGAAAAATATTATCTCATCTATATCTTTAACAAGTCTGAATAAAAGAAACTATTTTAATTAGTAATTTTTTTATAAGCATTAAATTTATATCTTATAATTATAAAAATATATTATTTTATTTTTTACTACACATCCGATTATTTTTTTTAAAAAAAGAATATTTACTACTGAGCACCAGCTAAATACTTCATAAAAAGTTAGAACTTTCTTAATCTAATTTTTAATTATTATATTATATATTAAAAGCCAATTTATCAGATATCTTTTTATTAAATTTATTAAATTCAAACTTTTATAATTACAACTCCTGA